AAGCTATTGAGCAAAAGGATATTTCCATATAAAAGTTTAATTTAAAATAATTTGAGATTTGAAATCGATAAATAAAAGCCTTAACTCTTGAAGATAATCGAGTGCTATGATTCAACACTGATTTTGCGTCAAATAAGCAACCTGGAAGCTTCTGAGCTAAAAGCTTACAAACTAATGAAAAAATCATTCGAGGTTTGAAGTGCAAAAATAAAACGCCTAACTTTTGAAGCCAGTGGGGTACTATGATCAAACAATGATTTTGAGTCAGTTGATTACACGACCCAAAAATTATTTAGTTAAAATGCTTAAATGTTCATGCAAAAATGAATTTAAAGTAATTCAAGATTAAAATCCCCAAAAAATCGCGTAATTTTTACATATCACCCAACCTTAATGAGAATCAGCTTGAAGGGGTCTGAGGAAAGTGAGATCTTGGAGTCTCTACTGAGTCAGCTGCTCCTGCAAAGCGGAAGATGACTATTTAAAAATCAGTGTGGAAGCACACTACTCCCATGGCTTCAAAAGTTATACCTTTTATTTTTGGATTTCATCTTTCAAAATATTTTTCAATTACTTCTTATATGAATACATTAGCATTTTCGCACTATAGCTTTTAGGTCATGTGATCAATTGACTCAAAAATCTGTATTTTATCATACTCCACTGGCTTTAAGTGTTCTGGTGCCTATCCACTTTTGGCCACCCCTCGCAGGGGCGGAGCTAGATGGGGGGCCAGGGCCGATCATTGGCCACCCCTGTGGCCACCCCTACCATTTGTTTCCCTCTAATACAGATAGTGGCAGCAGCAATACTCTAAAGGGGAGTGTTCAAACTTATTAAACATTTAAATTTTTCATATATTAACAACTACTTGAGAACAGAAACACTGTGGTTAATTATGCACATCAATATACCAACATTGAAGATGATAGATATAGAATTCATGCTCTTTTCAGAACTAAATTTTGAATTATTTGGGCTAAAAATAAAATGATGTGCCTCTGCAAGTCATCTAGGAGTCTTCAGTGAAATCATAGATAAATAACTACTTTAACAATAACTTAAAAATGCATAAATGTGGATATTAATAGATTTAAATAAATATATATTTTTTTGCAGATTGATTATTGATAAAAGTAGATAATGACAATGTACAATACGCTCGTCCCAGAACTTAAACCTGAAAGAATTTTGTCCACTATACCTTTCATTTACATAGATGTTTACATAGATGTCATAGATGTTTAAATATATGCCTGTATTTGTTAGGCTGCAGGAAAGAATAGTTTGTCTTTATTTAGACAATATGGATGTTGTTCGTGTGCCTGTTGGAACAGTGTAGATTGACCCTGAGGTTACTGGTGCCTTTTGCCCCCCCCTCAATGTACATTGGATATTGACTGGCCACCCTTATAAAAAATTTCTGGCTACGCCTCTGTTCACGCAATCCTCTGGGAAGAAAATTATTATGCAGTGCAGGAGCGTTAAAACTGTTACACCAGATAATTAAGGGACAAATGGCACCTTGCTCCGGGCCGGTTAGAAGTCCCAGTATCAATCGGAACACCAACAAACGCTGCGTCCAGCCCGTCGGCCGTCTCCTGGTAAGGCAGCTTGGCCATGGTGGGGATCCCGGAGACCCGAGCGACAAACTCGGCGCTCGGTGGAACATTGTAACGGCTCCCGGAGCTCCTCCTGCTCTGCGTCAAACAGCCCCCGGTTCGACTGCTGCGCTGAGAAGAAGCCTGCCGCGACGATAAGGGGATTTTCACAGCCGCAGCTCGAGTTCTCCAGAAGTTTCTCCAAAGTAGAAACATTTTGTTGACTTTAGTCTCCTGTAAATGAGTGAAACAGTCATGTGCCAAAGGCCAGGCCAGGCCAGGCTGAATTCATATCTGCTGCGTTTGGGTTTATATTTAAGCTCGTAAATTTTAAACCTGCCTCTAAACTAAAGGAGGACACAGAAATGCACTGTAATTACGGTATCTGAAAATGACAAAATATCGCATTAAGTTTAATATTTAAATGCTAAATGAATCAGAAGAATTTATATTACAGTAGATGGTAGATAATATATTTTCCTCAATTATATGCCTGTAATTCTTAATAATACGACAGTATCTGAATGCAGCAAAAGTTTAATCTGCAGACGGAAAAGCCACTTTATATAACAAGGCACATTGTCATTTTCA